TATATCTTTTCACTAATATTTTTCAATTATAAATTCTAATTTTTTATTAATTTCTATTTTTAACTTTATTTTATTTTTATTTCTTATTTTTTTCTTATATTTTCTTTCTCAAGGGATTGGCATCCCTAGTTCAGTTGGTAACAACTGAGCTCCTATTGTGGATTACACTGCAATAGCCACAGGTTTAAGTCTCAGCCGAAACATAAAACTAGATGATTTTCATTAGAATTTCATATGTAACTGAATATATAGGCGTATATACTAATATGTGTTAGAAACTGATCAATTGATTAGTCAATTGATGTTAATTATGCCTAAATACTGAAATTGCAGAATAAGTGGATGCAAATAAAGCCAGGAATCAATAGAAACTTAGCCTTCGCTGATAGGCCTATAATGGGTACTGTCTCACGTCTTCAATTTCAGGGGTTCTTACACAAGTAAGGAAGTGATTAACCAGTAATTAGTAGATTGGATACTACCTATGGGTGGCTAGGGTAATAATAGACTGCATTGTATTGCTACAGCATTCTCCAATCGAGCTGTCATTAGGGGTAGAGGCTGGATTCAATTCCTGGATAAATTTGATGATATGGGTACGACAGCCACCTACCTTTCTGAGATTCTATAAGATAAACAATGTCTAAGCCTTCCCAATCATGTGTAAAATACTCTGATACTGGGCAGAGGTAATAGTATCCAAATATGGTATTGGTAAACACAGGGAAAAATTGACAAAAAGTACCTGTGGTTGAAAGTGATCCTTCTATCCAAATTTGACAGTGGTTCTGAGATCTAGGGACTCTGAGGTCTAGCTCTTGGAAATATCGACCTAGATGGCAATCTTCAGACCAGTATTACAGGATAGATTCTGACTAAAACTATGTGTCTAGTTACGACTTTGGAGGATTCTCAGGTGTAGAGGGTAACACCTTAATACTCCGTTTAAAGATTCCTATGTACCGGATACTGTAACTTTTAAAAAAAAAAAAAATTATATTTTCTTTCTCATTCACTATTTCTAAAGTTATTATATACTTCATTATTTATGTCATTATATGTCTTTATGATATTATTATTTTTTATTTAGATATTCCTTTAACTTTACTAATTATTATTTTATTTTCTTTTATTTTTTAATTCTCATAATAATTCCTTCTTTTTTTTTTTGTATTCAAGTATATTTTTATTCTCTCTTCAATATTTTTACTAATTTCCTTTTTTGATAATATAGGTTATACAAGTATTCTATAGTTTCAGTTCATTAGTTTTTTTCATTTAAACCTTTATATAATATTTATGTATATTCATCAATTTTCTTCTTTTCCTTCTTATTCTAAGAGTTCTTTAGCTACTTTCTTTCTTTATGATTTTAGTTATTTGATTTTCTAAGTCTTGTAATTTATTCTATATTACATTTTAGTTATTATATTTCCTTTTAGTTATTGTATAATATTCTGGCTATTTTATTACTTTCTAATTATCATATCACATTCTGATTATTGTATTACTTTCTAATTATTATACTTTCTTACAATTATGTTATAAAATTTGTATTACTTTCTAGTTATATTATGTTCTATATGATTGTATTTCTTAATAGTTATATCAGATGATTAGTGTCTCATTACATTATTCTAGTTAATTATTTATTTATCATCATGTAATTTTTAGTTAATTGTTTTTCCTTTATGACTCTCTGTTCAATAGATTATTTCTTAATCTCTTCTTATTATAATTTTTCTTTAATTATTATAAAAGATTATGTGATATGTTATTTTGAGATTTCTTGACTTTATATCACATTTGATAGAGTAAATATTAATAAAAAAATAAAAACCTCCTCTGCGATAAAAATATAAGTATAAATTTTTTAACTTATCATCACATAATAATTAGAATCACTTTGATTGGTTTAATTGAGTAAAATTTTATAATAAATTATTTGTTATTAAAGTTCCAAACGGTTCAGTTCAGTTCAGATTAAATGTCAATCTGTATTTGAAAATTTCAGTTCAGTTCAGTTCAGATTATTAATCTTAAAAATGCCAATCTGAATCTGAACTGAATCGCAAACTGATAAAAATCTAAATTGAACCAGAATTTTCAGATTAATCTGAAATTACAGTTTAATTATATAAGAAATCACAATTTATATGTGAAACTCTAGGAGAATCGCAAAAAATTGCAAATTTCTTTTTGAAGTTCGTAAAAATTTGCAAAATTCGATAAGTAATCACAAAATTTACGATTCTCTAAGATTTTCACATTTTTTTGTAAAATTCAAAAAGAAATCACAATTTTTTGTAACTCTTTAAGAATTTCGTGATATTTTTTGCGAAATATTAAGAGAAATCGCAAAAATTGTGATTCTTCAAGGGTTTCATGATTTTTTGCGAAATTCAAAAAAAAATTGCAATTTTTTGCAACTTTCTAAGAGTTTTGCAATATTTTTGCAAAATTCTAAGAGAAATCGTAAAAAATTGCGATTCTCCAAGATTTTCACAATTTTTTTGCAAAATTCAAAAAAAAACTACAAAAAATTGTAATTCTTTAAGAGTTTTGCTAAATTTTTTGCAATCTCTTAAAGAATTCACAAATTTTGCAATTCTTCAAGAGTTTTGTATATAATTGAACTAAACTTTCAGATTAATTTGAAATTATCAGTTCAGTTCAGATTTTTTCAGTTCAGATTAAAATTATAATCTAAAAAAAATCTAAACTGAACTGATAATTTTCAGATCAATTTTTATGCAATCTGAAACTGATCTGAACTGAACTGAACTGAACTGAAAAATCTTCAGATTAATCTGAATTATTCAGAACTTTATTTAATATAAATACTAAATAATTCATTATAATAATAACAAATTTTTTTATAATGAAAACCTGATCAGTTTGGATGTAAAATTCATTATATTGAGTTTTGACTATATATAATAAACTATATGAAAAAATTTAAGTCTTTTTACTATTTAATTCTTATAACTACCTATATTATAAATATTATATTATTCCTAACTAAAATAATTTAAAAACCTAATTTAGTCTTAATATTTAAATAAGCATTATAAAATCAGTTAAATTTAATCAATAATACTAATTATATTTTATACATTTTTTATTTAATTCAAATTTTTAATAAAGTTATTAAATAGAATTTGTAAGTTATTAGTATTATAAAATGTGATTTATTTTTGAATACCAAAGCAACCTTGATAAAAATTGAAATTTAACTAAGTTTAAACCTACTAAATAATTTTATTTAGATTATAAAAAATGATTTTCTTGAACTAAAGTATTAAAATTATTAATTAAAATTAAATAATAAATTTGTTTACCATTAACATTAATTAGACTGTAAAAATAATTTTATTAAACTAAAATACTATAACGATAATTATTAATTGAATTTAAATTATTAACTAATGTTTTAAGTGAAATTAATTTTACCAAATTGATCTGCAAAATTCTTTTCAAATTTAGGATTTAAAGGTTTCAGATAGTTTCAGATCATAGAAAAATTCTTTAGGCAAAACATTTCAGATGTTAAAAAATAGTTTTGCTTGAAATACTATTGTTAACTAGCAAAAGGTAAATTTGTTTATTATTAACACTTCTAGAAATGGTTTATGTTGCAGAACAACATAATAATTTTTCATTATATAATGCATTAATATCATTTAAAATTAGAATATATAAATATGACAATTCTATTCATTAGATTATAACAGTTTGATTTCATTTGTTTTGTTTTTTTTGAAACGAAGTAAGTTGTTTTAATAAAATTCACTTTATAAATAATGTTGGGCAATTGGACAATTTTGAATATATTTTGGACAGGTTTTATACTATTTTTTTTATGTTAAAAATCTTATTTAAACTTTACAACTTAAAACTGTGTCTAAAATCATCACTGCTTTATAATGATGAGGCTTCAAAATTCTCTCAGTATAAAAAGTATTGCTGAATAGGTCTGAATTCTTGTTAAGACATGATATTGCTTCAGATTTGTAAACAATATTTTCCTATGTTTCAAGTTATTAATAAATATCTATCAACAATTTATATCAAAATCCTATCTCTTATCTTAAAAAATATAATGCTTCAAAGTTTACTTCAAAATAATAATATCATTAATTTGGAACCTGTAAATAACTGTACTGTATGGTTAGCTAAACTGTACTGTATGAAAGTATTTCAACCAATCATAACTTATTGTACACTTTTTTAATTTTTTATATTTATAATAAAAAATATTGATTGGTTATTATCATTTTCATATATATAGTTTAGCTAACTGTACAGTATATATATACTTTTGATTCTTAACCATTACTACAATCGTTGATAATCTTAGTAGAATTTGTTTTATGTGTGCATTTAAAACTACTGAGCTTCACATTTTTTTCTTGATTTTTTTTTCAATATATAATTTGTAAATCGATTTTTACTTCTAATGTCATTGCCTTTGAACTGTTTTCTTCCCTACAAATATTTACAATCAGAATAATAATTGATAATCATTTTAAAAAAATTAGGATATTTACCATTTGAGCTGAATACAACTTTAAACGTGAAGTCAATTTCTGTTAAATTTTGTTTATTTCATTCCTTATCTACAAAAACATAAAGATCTATAAGAAACATTTCTATACTAATTATAAAAATTAAAATTAGTTCGACAGGAGTTGTGAATATAATAATATAAAGATGCATATAGTTACATACATAAAATAAATTTTTTATGACTTGACGATAGTATTTTAGACGAAACTAGTTTTGCCAAATTGATCAGCAAATCTTCTAAATTAGGGTTTCAGAGTTTCAGATAATTTTTAATCATAGAAAATTATCTGGAGAAACGTTTCAGATATTGAAAAATAGTTTTGCTTGAAACAATACTTGACAATAAAAAGTTTCAGTTTGATCTAAACATTCATTTAATTTCTCATACACAATGATGCTTATAATAGATATATTTAATTTTTTCTTTTTTATTATATTTCTTTGGCTTGTTTGATGACTTCTAACATCATACGAATGAGAGCATTCCTAACATTTTTACCATTCTTCAGTGTCCATTTTTCTTCATCTTTACTTAATTCTATAAATTGATCAAATAAAATTGTACTAAAATTGATAACATCTTCTTCATCTGAGATTTCATGGTTTTCATCATCCTCAAATTCGCTTTAATATCCAAAGAGACGTGTCTTTGATTCTGTAAAAATGTTAGTTAATATTATTAAGCTCAGATCAGATCTTTTTAATCTATCAATAGACTTAAACTAATACCTCATTATTTTCTGATAGATTGTCTGATTTTTGCTTACGAGAATTTTGAGTAAAGGACTTTTGCTATTCTTTTTCTGTTTTTCCTCCTTACTATAGCTCCTTCTATTAGATCTGCTAATCGACACACACAAACTCAATGTTAAACTTATCAAAGTCAAAGCTCATTCAGATAATATTTTTAACAACAAAGTTGTATCTTAACTCTTTTTTTTATGATTTCGACATTGAAATTTTCACAAATATTATTATCCTGTCTATATATTATTTTTTATGGTCATGTATTGTTTATTCTGATCAATAAATAAGACATTAATCATTGAAATTCACAGAACATAATGAACTTACAAAAATACAATGCATATATATATTGTACAACTTACTTTATCTTCAGCAACCTGCCTTCTTTTTTTCAGATTTTTCTTTTTCTTCTCGCATTTTTAAAGGGTCCAAAAATCATTAAGAATTTTCTTATCCTGCCAGAAAAGACTTTATTAGATGTACCTCTAGTGTCTCTATTATGTTAACAGCAATTGATTGCAATTTCAGTTTTGAGCGTAAGTATTCAAGGCACTTACTTAATGTAAAGTAAATTTTTTTGTCATTAAAATTGTATTTCTTGAAAAAATTAATCACTGAAAAATTGTGATGATTATCGAGAAAATACTGCAAATACTGATGCGAGATAACAGATAAAGGGATGATTTTTTTAAATACTAATTTAGTTACACAATTTTCATCAGCCAATAATTTACGTGTACTAAAAAATCTCGCAAGTTAAATGGACTCTCATATGAACACAAGACTATGTCTCTAAGCAGCTTGCAAGAAGTTTGTCATATGATCAATAGCTTGTTATTTGACAGCTAAATCCCCAGTAGATTTGCGCACCTTTGAGAGCCAACTTCATCTTTTTCAGTAGAAAAGCAAAAAAAAGTTTAAACATTTTAGAAATAACGTGAAAAAATAAATAATGATCAAGTCGATATTGCAAACAAAAGATGTGCTGAAAGAAAAATGATTAAAAGTGTCATTTTTATTAATTAAATTTTATATTATATACTTCAACTTTCGCACTAATGCAATTTTGTATCTTATAGAATTTCAGCAAAGTTGATTTTATTTCAGATGTTACAATGTAATAAACGAAAAGAAAGGATCCCAAAAAAATTTACCTCTTTAATGGTATTGAACTGTAGGTGATGGAAAAATTAGCAAATGATGGAATTTATACATTGAAATAATTCATTTGGGATTTATCTTCTTTAATCAGGATGTATATGTGTCAGAATAATAAGTGATCAGATCTATTGCTTAAATGACGAAAAATTATAAACATGAATGAATTAAATGTACTATGCAAAAGTATGTTACAAAATAATGCTCATCATAGAGCATTTAAAGTTTCGATTTATTAAAAGAGACCCAATTCCCGAAGTTACTCTGGAATAACTACATTTGGGTTTTCGTAATACCATACATACCTTAGGGCGGCAATCTGATTCTCTTTTCATAATTCTTTCTTGAGTTGATCCTGTACTTACTATTTAATGAAATTATTGGATCGCTCTATGAAAGAATTCTATATATTTTTCGTGTTGTTATCCTTGTGCTTCAGTTGCAAATCCATATTGCAGGTAATAAATGTCAAGTTCTAATCCAGTTGGGTGATCTAAAATTTTAAGAAAATCACGTCGACGTATCTTAGAAGGCGGTCTAAGATATTTTGACATAATCTCTCGACACAATATTTCATGTTTATATATAGAACAATATGTTCACCAATAGTTCCTGTACTTGAAGGAAATGAGCCATTCGTGTGATTTGGAACATTTCCAATGCAAATATGTTTGATGATATACACATTGGATAAACACTTTCCATCTTTACTACATGATATTTTTTTTGCATTTTCGATACCAAGTCTTGCAGATTCACGTACACAACGTGAACACCAAGTTCCTCTTTGAATACTATCAATCTGAGCAAACCATGAATGTCCTTCAGAACATCCCAAAGAGAGTGGAGTACGTCTGTTATGATCCACCCCAATTTTTATCAGAAGCGGAATAAAAAATAAATAATGCGAATACATCGCACAGCCCTATTCTTCGGCAAGAATTTTTCTGATATTAAACAGCGGGATAATTAATCACGTTCTAAGCAAAACTTACGCAAAATGTAAAATTGATTTTACCACTTTCGCAGTTGATTGTCATTAATTTCACAGTAATTTTTTTGAATCTTTCTTCCAAGATTTGCATTTTATCTTGTCACGATCACAATGAATTCTCTATATGTTTATCACAAGCACACTGCAATTTCTGTTACTTGCAAAGATTGACCAGTGGTCCTTTTTTGATTAATTATGCAGCACAAAAAAAAATAATTTCACAAAGTATGTGCAAAAATAACTGTTATGCTACTGCAGTATCGTCAACTAATAATTATAATATAATTCGATGTGACATATGATTAATTATAGTGTAATTTTCGCCCAAAGCTAAATAGTCACTTGTAAAACCTCTTTAAAGTAGGTATGAATGAAAAGATACTGTGTAGTCCTGATGTTCTTTGAGAATATTGACCTTGACAAGTTTACGAATCATGTCAAGAAGTATATAGGATTCAGCTTCCTCAATATCAATACAATGATGTACTTCGATAAGCTTTCTGAAAAATTCATGGTTTGTAGGAAGTCCTACCGTAAACAATTTTCCCTCAATCTGCCAAAACAGTATCTCCTTTGATTCTGATAAAAGTAGTAATGATAGACCAGAAAAAAGTATTTTACACTAAGAAACCAAGATTGCAACAAACACATACTTTTAAGCGAATTTTCCCCAGGATTGATTTTATATATACTGTGGAAATTCGTCAATAAAGCAAATCGCCCACCTGTCAGATATTTCACTGCATATTCAGCGATTTTGGGGTCAACATTAAAATCTTGCAGGAATTTTACTGCTTGTTCATCTGGGATATCATCTATTTCCAAAGGAATAATTGCCCGTGACCAGGCAGAACGAGCTGATATAATAAAAATGAGTTTTAATAAAAACAATTCTATCATGTATAACGGAACGTTAAAATCATAGCATCTTACATTGTTGAAATTGTGATATCAAGCTTTCACTTGCAACAAATACAACGATAATTGAGCGTGTATCCGCGTTGTCCTTCGCAAAATCTTGGAGTATACTAAGAAAATTTGGGTCTCGGACTATGCTGATGCCTCGATGATTGCTTTGCAATCGACTCCTTTTAACCATCTATAGATTCATCATAAATGGAATTTACAATTCAGGTCAGTTAATTCTCCTCTTTACCGACGATTCTTTAATAACCAGCTTCAAAAGTCTTCGATCCATAGCATTCTGAAAAAAGCTTATATATCAATAGAGATGAAAAGTGTGAATTTTCAACAAAAACGCGAAATATTGATCATAACAACGAAAAAAATAAATAAATTACCAGTCACGTGTGCGTTACTTTTCGTAACACTATGTAAAAAATAAATAAACTCGTAGTACATGATGTCGTTCTAAAGAGCCTGTTTCTATCCTAGCTCAGTAGCGATTATGACTTTCTTGTCTTGATAAGTATCCCAAGGACTCATAAGATAATAGAAGTTATTTTTGGCCTCGCAAGTCCAATCACCCCATCCATATACACCGATATGAGTGAACTTCCTTACCATGCCGGGCAATTAGCAGTATATCCGAAATGATCTCGATACTGTTTAATTGATTTAGTCTATGATAAGCGTTCCCGTACTGCTTTTTCGATCTTCAGGGAATTTAGTTGTCTTGATAGGCGTGGTCAAGTCTTTTTTAACAGATTTGGTAGGTGTGCATAAATCATCTGAGAATGAAATTAAGTCACGTGCGCGTAACTTCGTAACGCTGAATTTGAACATCAGTTAGACATGAATTAGCATTCGTACTATAAGTAATTCGTTTGATCTTATCTATCCCTATTTCTGGAAATATCGTGTAAAATTTTTTTGGCTCCGAAGGTTTTCCGACGCAAGTTTCCTATCAGTAATGTTGGGAAGAAACAATTTAATCTCTTTATACACCAATGTTCTCGCTGATTAGTCATCAATATTTTTCTAACTTTACTCTCTTCAACCCGATCCCATATGCTTTATACCGGCATAGATTCTCCTTTTGCCTAACCTTTATTGCCACGTTAAATAAATCAGCTATACTTTGTACCGTAATTTCATTAGATTCCATTAGAATCGTCTCAAGAGAAAATTCGGAAATCTGAATATAAATGAGCTATATTTTTCGATATCTTCATCTTTGGTAAAAACGGATAGCTCATGTATCAAACCTTGCTCACTTTCAGATTGTATGGAATTTTTTGTTTTTTCATCGCATAGCTCATCCTCATAGTTAACATGTGTTGAATCCATAGATTGGGCATTTTCGAAATCGTTAACTGGATCCGGGAGAATAATCTCATTGGGATTATGAAACTCTATTCCTGACAAGTCAGACCTCTCTAAATGCACCCTCAATAAATGCACACCCTCTTTAAATGCACACAATGTTCTGGTCCCAAGCTTGGGACTTAGAGGCTAAATGCACCCTCCAAGTTCTGCACGTGCAAGAAAATTTTCGGTCCTTTGATATGACAATCCGATCTCTAAATGCACGTCACGTGACTATTTTATAAAAATAATAGATGGAGACTGTTGGCGAAGTGTGAATGGCTGACCTTTCGAAAGTTGAGCTTTCCCTTTTCAGGAGATATTGGAGGTATTACTATAGTTTTGAGCTTGAAGTTTCTTTTTCCCTATTCCTCTTTTTCATCATATTACTAACCATTTTCTTGTTCTCTGAATCCAGGAAAGAGATGATCTCTTTTTCTTCCAATGACTTCTGCTCGAGCTGAACTATTTCAGATTCAAGTACGGAAACAGATTCTTAGGAAGAGAAATTATTTTGCACCTGTTCATAACCCTGCTCGAATTTCGCAATTCTATCTTTAAACTCATCAACCTTAACGTCACGCCTAGCGTTCTTGGCATCATCATCCGTCCTAATCTTCTCCAACCCCTCGATTTCACTCTTAAGCTCGGCTCTTAACTTCACAATTTCGGCCTTAACCTCAGAATTCTTGACCTCAACCTCAACAACTTCTCTCTAAGTTCGGGAATCTCAGCATTCTCCTTTATAAGCTCGGCAATCTCAGCTAAAAGCTTAGTATTTAATTCTCTTAATATAATCCATTGTAGGTTGAGATTTTGACATTGTTTTATACAAGATGGGAATAATTCAAAAGCTCGTCAGCATAGATATAAATCGTGACAAAATGTCACGATCAGAATCATACTGTTAAATGTGGCTTTATTGATACAGAATATAAATACATGATTTGGTGAAACATATACTTGTTTTACAAATGTGAAATGGAATTTCTATACTAATGCAAATGCTACGGACCACACCAGTTTTTCTATACTAACACAACGTCCAACATTAATCCATGATCCAGATTCATTGTCCCAATTATTGATATTCTGAATAGAATAAAAATGGTAGTCAGTTATGCTTATGAAACATGATGTCAGAAATTTGATAACCATCAACCTTACGTTGTTAATGCAAATAAAATTCTGCACGAAAAATTGGATATTAGTTTGTAAGCTCCGAAGTTGTTTCATTGCATAGCTATAACCGAAATATTCTCTGTTAGCCGTTGTACAATAATCATCTCGGCAATGATTTTCGAATTATTGTAACTCTGTAAGTTACGGATCAATACCTTCGTGAAGAAATTCTTGATCGAGAATGTTAGTAATAAAATAATAAAGAAGAGGCAATAGCATTTCCTTCCCAATGTTTGATACTCATTTCATGCTATGGTACAATCTCTTTTACATTTATAAATTTCCTACAGTTACTTTCTAGCAAAAAAAAAAAAAAAAATGTTTTCTTACCCATAATGATTTGTGTCCCATTTATAATATCAAGATCAAGCATGTGCTAAGCTTTCCTTATATTTTCTTTAACTATTTTGAAAAAAAACGGAGTGGAAACATAAAAGCTGGCACTCAAAAGACGCGCAAATCTGCTGGAGACGTACCCACGGACAGCGGGTCAAATGGAAGGCCAAATGACGAACTGCCTGCAGTTTGCATAGACACGTAGCCTTGCGTCAATTGAGTATAGTGAAAAGCCAGAAACACGAACGCGCAAATTGCTGGAGACGTACCCACGGACAGCGGGTCAATTGGAAGGCCAAATGACGAACTGCCTGCAACTTGCATAGACACGTAGCCCTGCGTTCATGTGCGAAAAGGAAATAAAATTATAGATTTAAAAATGATACGGAACATTTTTTTTTTAATCAGGTGTTTTATACTGCACTACATATGATGTGACACAGGTGACGTGTAAATATAAGTATCAAGTATATATACGCGTAACAGCTGAACGAGCTGAACGCTGATCTCTATAATGGAAAGACGCGTACAAAAATATCTGTCGTACTTTCTCGACGAATGTAGTGAATATTCTGTAATTGGATTTTTTAAACACTATGATTTCGCACCTAGTGAAAAATCGGATGCTCATGTTGCACTAAATAAGTGCTTGGAGTACATGTGTTCGAGTTCAGATCCAGAACTAAAGTCGAAAGCTTCCAAAATAAAGAAAACTCTAAAGGTATGCTTAATATACTTCATGTTTCATGAATTTCCAACTGAAATGAGGTCTCTTATTTTGATAGGACGATAAATATAAGAAAGATATTAACGCCTTCTGGGTATCTTTGAGCCAGGAGAAAAAGAAACAAACTTTAGAAAACAGAATAAAAATTGTTGAGAAGAAGAGCAAGTTGTATGATGTACGTGTCAGACATATTTTTTATGAGTTCTAAGTTTCTTTTGAATTCAAAAGATTGATTGTCGCGTTTGTTGGACAGGCTGAACAACACGCGACTATGAAAAAATTAGTATATGAACAGGATAACTGTGCTCGCGAAAATTTCAGGAATGCAATGATTAAACCGCCCCCAACTCCGAGATCTCGTAAACGGAAGTCAGAAAATTGGCCTGAACATGATAAAGTATACCATTATTTGACAGATCAAGGTCTGATTTGAATTTAATGGTTTCGACTAACATTTTTATAGAATTTTAAGATGCGTCTCTTTGAAAATCAATCTGAAAGCGAGTACGAAGTTGATGGAAGTGATGAGAGCTCAGATGAGGATGATATGGTCGATTTTGACGGAATTTCCTTTGATACGTTTACAGAAACGAGCAAAACTGAAGGAGATAGGTGGACATTGAAGAGTGGAGAAAAGTTGAGAGATTTACTTATCCGCATGACATCAAAGAGTATTGAGCAAGCAAAGGAAATACAAATGCAATCTAAGGGAATAAAATTAGACGCGTCTATTTTAAGTATTATCAGGTTTATAATTTTCTTTTCTTATATTTATGATATTGGAACAACGCTAACTGCTGATAAACAAATGCAGGCTCGGGCTGTCTTCAATTATCGATCTTTCTTCGGAATTTTCTGGTGGCATGTATTTATGGTTTGGTGAGGAGTGGTTGGACCTTAAAGAAAAGGTGCTGGCACTGGTAAACATTAAACAAAAGAAATTTGAAGGCGTAGTCAATGGTGATATCGATAAATTAGAGAAGGTATGTGAATGATCTATTAATTATTTTGTCTTATATGTTCATCACTGAACTTTTTTCAATATCCAGCTTTGTAATGAATATAAATACTGGGAGGCCAGGGATTTCATACACGAAAAATTGAAGGGACGTCCGAATGGAACTACTTTACAACGACAAATAATGAAAATTTATTTTTTTATGTATGTAATTGTGTGCCTTTTATGCAGTTATGTTTTATTGTCGAGCTAAGTTTAAACTTCATTGCTAGTATGGACATGTTTTTGGAAAACCCTTATATTTTTGTTAACAAAGAAGGGAAGAAACAAGATTTGACAGAAATTGAGTTCGCACTTAAAGTTTTTGGCCCCATTTTGGACATAATTTTTTCCGATGTTCAGCATCTTGTCAAACTCAAATGGTGAGTATTCTGTGCTTTGAAGTGATTGTCAATTGATGTTTTAATGGTTTGCTTGTTGTAGGGGAGAAACAGTTTCCAAAGCAACATCAGCTGGCAGAAAGATCGATTTACAGATTAAATGCCAAGAAGGAGATATGGAACTTAGCCATTCTGAATGTGCTCGATCAACAACACGAGTCAAGCTTATAAAGGATCGTAGTAAATGTTTGCGTACAAATAAATGTGTCCTTGATCAGTTTCTTAAGCATAATCTTTCTGAGGATATGGTTGAGAATTCTGCCATTTTCGGATTGCAATTTGCCGGTAAAGCTCTTTATCACATATTATGTCCATAATTATTGATGTTAATGGTTATTATTTTTATTATAGATCTCTATGGACAGGTTATTGGAATTGATCTATTGGATGAAGGCCTGTATTTTGGGTTTGAAGGACCATCATTTAGGTTCCCCACCCAACTCAATGATATTGCGATTCTTCGGCAAGCTTTGGAAGTTTTATATTACTTTAAGGTAAGAAACATAACTGTTGGTATGCAATAATATCATTGATTATAACTCCTTGAACAATAGGATAATATCGTTCGTAAAGCAGAAGCATTATCTCGTCTCAACATATCAAATCCCATTTATAAGAACTTTCACACTGAAATTGTTTCAAGACCACATCATCGAAAATGTAATTTTATAAGGCCAACTTACTTCACACCGAAAGGACAACTGAAGAACGAAATGAGCATTTGTTCTCGGGAAGAGACTTTTTCACAATAAACTATATTTGATATTACAATAGTGTTATGATATGGTTTTTTAATAAATTATTACTTTTTTAAATATATAAAAAATTACTATAAGTTTTTTATATAGTATAAATATGATATATAGAATAGTGGACGTTTATAGGGAGGAAGGATTTCGAACCCTAATTCCTAAAATGAAAGTTCCTTCCCGCTACTTAATACTAACTATTTAATGCGCCTATTTATTATGCCTTTATGATTAACCAATTTCCAATACAAATATTCCATTCTTATATTTATGATATTGTTTTTTTTTTAACCAAATTTTCTGAGATGATATTTCAGAAGGACCGGGAAAACTTTTAATAGAGGTTATCGGAAAAAATACAAAAAAATTATATGATTATGAACCACATGATTTTACTAACAAAATTGTGGTAAGTATACAGTAAATAATTATTAAGACATTCGAACCTTATAATTACAATAAGATATTTTACTTTTAATTATTAAAATTAATAATTTTTTTACCAAAAATAGAAAGAAACTAATCTATTTAATTTTTATTTTATAAAATATAAAAGATGAAAATTACAAATTTAATATTGAAAATTGTTATTTATAAAAAATCTTTGTAAGATCCAATATCATTTCTGGTGTTTTAAAATGCCAAAAAATTTCCAAATTTTCTTTTGTTAAAGTGAAAAAAGAACTTTGAGAATGAATCAAAATAATATAAAACTTCTTTAGCTGAAATGTGAGCAAATAATTTTCCTCCTATCTCACATGTATTTGCCTATCATAAACATTCAGATAAATATTAACAGAAATATATGATAAATAATCCAAAAAATTTGCTTTTTCTACCCAAGCATGTCATTGATCTCGCTTTTCATATATTAAGATAATTTGAGCAATACAAAGTTTCTTGTCTGAATAAGTAATTAAATATCTACCTGAAATTAGAAAATGAAAATCAGATACATTTATATCAATAATATAGTAGCGGTCAAAAGTATTCGACCGCCTCTAACTCCGGCTACAAGTAAGTAAATTCAAAATGTTTTTTTTATTTAAAAAATACATAACTAACTAACTAAAATCAATATATTGTATAGTTACCATCTGACTCTATAAGTGCAGCTGTATGCCTTTTCATGCTAGCTACCAAATTTGCGGCAAGTACAGATGATAATCAGTTCTATTCTTTTGTAAGTTCCCTTTAACCCTCTAATTGATCGAATTTTTTTTTTGTATATTAATTTTCATTAACCTCCAAATGTTTTCTATAGGGTTTTGGTCTGGAGACATTGATGGCCAAGAAAGTACCTCAATGCCATTTTCTTCCTTCCAT